TACGTTGGCTACTTCCTCATTGAACATAATTAATTTATCACCACGTAATAATAAATAGAATTTTATCTTGTCATTTACAACTAATCACAGATCCATTAACCTACAGCATTTTTTTTTGATTTTCCACTTGTTAATGATAATAATGAACAACTTATACTAAATAGTCAGTAAAAATATCTATGGTAAAGGCGAAATGGGTGGTCAGGACTAAAAAATGTAGTAAAGTGAAAACAAAAAACCATAAACACACATAATCGACTGGTAAATTATAGCTACAGTAAAAAATTATCCATTTATTTACCATATAATATTGATTTTAAACAGTGCAAATGAATGCACAATAAACCTATTCAGGCGCGTTTATGAAAAGTTCACGACCTTCTGCTGTACAAGTTACAAAGAAGTACAATCAGAGTCATCGTGGTGGATAGCAATATGCGTTGGAAAGGATAAACATTATTCAGATGTCGATTCCGGAACTGCTAACAACTAACTGGCAATTACTGATTACTTATGGCCAAGATCGATCAAGAAATAAGAAAAGGAAACGTATTGAATTCTATATTGTACCAAAAATGTTATATTGAATAAAGCCATTAATAATAATAAACGTACATTATGCAGGCACCTATGTGGAGACGAAGAAATATTACTATTTAAATAAAAGAAACATAAGTTATCATAACTTCCCATTGAGTTTAAATAATTAAGATTTGTAATCGATTTCATCTAAAATAGGCTGGACATTTTCATATTAAATTTCAAGCATATAATTTCGAAGACATAAGTAAAACTAGCTGAGTTGAACTAAACTATGAAGCAAAGATTAATTAGGCAGTGTCGTTCTCTCTGTAAGACTTATAAGCTCTAGGTTTAACTACGAATTAGGCATTACGTACATACTGTTGAAGAGTATTAACCTAAAACTGAACGGCTGTTTAATAATTGGTAGTTCTCCAATTAACGACTATCCGGGAAATAAATTGACTTCAAATTGATCCGTAAGCACTTTTTAAAGGATCATTTTAGCTTAACTAATTATAACCAAGTTCAGGTTTTTATTTCTAAATAATAATTGTTTGAGGGTATCTCTCTTCACTAATTTAACTCAGATTTATTATGACCGTCCTTCTAGAAAACATGAAAGAAAAACTACAGTTTACTATGGTTATATACAGAAAATATTCATATAAAACGTAGTATATAAAGTGTATCAAACAAAAAATACCGCTTAGTTTGTAATAAAATATATGTGTTATACAGTGGAATATGTTCCATGTAATTGAATTCTAAGTAATTTGATAAATAACTACATAATTGTTATCAACACATGATGAGAACTAAATCCACGTTTGATCAAATCTCTACGACTTACTTAACAAAAGAATAATAACTGTTTTTAATTTTCCCTTCCTGGATCCCATAAGAAAATCGTGACTCAAGTTTTTTTAAATCAACGTACCCAACATCAATCAATCGCCACTTGATGGACAAGCTCTAGAAGAGGTGGAAACCCATATATACATGAGCATCATTATTGATAAAGAAGGAGGATCTGGCGGAGATATGAAGGCACGGATGCGCAAAGCAAGAGTAGTATTCCTTCAACTGAAAATTTTCTGAAACTCAAAAGAAATGTTCATCAAGACCGAATTCAAAATTTTCAACACCAATATCAAAAGGAGCTGGAAATTAGAGGACTATCATCATCGTCATCATCACCATCAGAAAAGTACAGGTACTTATAAATATCTGTCTATACAAGATACTCCAAAATTATTTGCCATACACCATCATCAACAGTCTAGTTAGGCAAAAATTCAATCAACTTGTAGTGCAAGAGGAAATTAGAAAAAAACAGTGAAGGTACATGGACACAGCATACATCACAAGATAAGGTTATGGGAGAGTTAGTTTGAAATCCTTGATCGGTCGTCTACGGCTTTAGAGAGATAACAAACTCAACTAAGTAAATTGCAATCTAACTGATAATAGGTAACGTTTTAAGAAATAATTGTTATGTCATAACATATATAAAATCTGATAAGTAACATCTTGTCTTTAAATACTTTGGAGAAATGGAATTTTTCGCTTAATAGTTTTCTGTATTTGACATCTCTGTGAAGTTTACAAAAAATATATGATTGATAGTTTTATAATTATATACTAGATTTAGATTCCTTTGCAGAAGTTAATCCACATATACATACATAACAGTAGATATGCTTATATGTTTCGTTTTTTCTGTCAGTTAAATGTTCATTAACAAATACGTAGAAATTTCTCTGTCACATATTTTATCCAAAAGTTTTTAAGTCTCCAGCTTCAAATTGTTTTATGTTCATATTATAGTTAGAAAGGAAGTAATTATCATCAGTTAATTAGTTGATTAATTCATATTTTGTACTTGTTTTTACTGTTAATAAGTGATTATGGATTATGAATTTCATAGAAAGTATTTTGTAACAACAAGATATAAGATAGTGTTAACCAATCATTGGTTGATACATTAGTTAATTGATCAACAGCATAGATCTCTAATTCAATGTGATGTCCATTTACCATGTTTGTTAACGAAACTACAGACAAAACTGATTATGAATTATAGTATATTAGTAACATTTTGACGATGTATCTTGTAGTTTTACCTAAACATTATATAACCCACCGAGTTACAACGAGCACAAAGATGTATTTTAGGCTTCTAATAATACTGAATAAACATTGTAGTATGAAAATATTTGTTTAATTTAAGACTTCTCTGTATAGGAGACCACAAAACTTTTGTGTTCTAACTATCAGAGTAATTAGCAAAAGTTAATGTACTTGTCCCAAACAGAACAAATCAGTGATTTTCTAGCATCCTATCCTTCTACATGGTGAATACTACTAAAATCATATTTTAGTAATCTATACAAACTATGAAAGTAAATAAACTCCTCTAGCCATTTAACTGCGGAAATAATGTTAACACAAGTTATCTATATATTTTCTAAAGTAACTAAACCTATGGATAATATATGATTAGTTTTAACATGTGTACTTGTAAAGCTTAAAGCTATATTTAAACACATAAATAAACTTACAGTAAATACCTAAATTGTATCTTCATCCTCTAGTTTGTCCGATGGTCAAAGTTCAAGTATTTTAAGAGTTACGATATTAAAGTTTTCAGTATTTAGATGTAAGAATATACTCTACTCTATTTTATTCCCTCTATTTTACATCCGACAACTAATTTCAACACTATTTGATTATATATCTTGTTTAAGCCAATTGAATTCTTCAAGACAGAAATAACTTTCTGAAAGATTTCAAACATTTACTAACAAAGAGAACACATTAGTGAAGAAAGTTTATTATGATTAACTTAAATCAATAAATACCATTTAAAATGGTATCATAACTTTAATTTACTTCATTGATTGAATTGGTTGAATATTGAGAATTCAATAGTGCTATGTTACATTACTTACTCATTGAATTCTAATTCACACAATGATGGAACATTTCAACTTCGTTTAAGTAATAAATAATTCTCTAAAGTCCTAATAGATGATTTTTAAAGTTCAAATATCATTCATTATAATAAACATCCAAACGTTTATATATCAGATTAAAGTATATGGGATTTTATAAAAGATACATTATTGTTATTTACTATCTTAGAATTCTTAAGTTTACTAAACCTGAACATATAGCTCCTAAGAGAATCATAAAGTCTTACGAAAATAACTGCATATATCCTTCCATGGAATTTCGTTAACATATATATATATATATATATATGTTTGGCTTATAATTAAAACATTAATGACTTCCTTTGTTAAAGTGTATATTGATAAGATAAACATAAAAAATCATTAACAACTACTATCCTTAACATAAATACATAATTATATAAGTAGTAATCTTGTAAGAATTCGATTCGGGTAAAATGAAATAATAAAAAAACGTTTTATTTTCTGAAAAAGTTAACGAGAGTCGGATTTCCTGTCCTCTGATGTATTCTAACTGTGATATATGAAATAACAAAGGTGATGAAAATAAAATTCAAATATGTTTTAGGGTAAATAAAATAAAAAGAGGAAAAGCGTTTAACACGTTTATTCTCTTGTTTTTGTATATCTATTGTTTCTCTTTATTGATATAGGGTATAAGAGTAATAGAATATAGTATCATTGAAAATGAATTCAATACAATTCCCTTGTTGAATAAACCAAGTCTTAGAGTAAATTTAGCAGAAAGCCTTAACCCTTGAAGGAAAAAGAGATAATAGAAAAATATATAAAGTTATAAAAATGATTTTATATTGAAAACTGATTTCAATTATAGAACCATTGGGATCAGAAGATAATGAACAGCTTTACTATCATTGTTTGAGATAGTTTAGTTGTACACAAATTCAATTCGATATGAATCAAATCAAAACTCCGACTTAAATTTGTAAAAATCAGCACTAAAATATTTGTCAGTATGAAAAAAACATTTTGTTCAATAATTAAATGGATGTTAACAATTACAAAGAAAGTTTAAAAACGGAAGCTTCCATTAAACATTGATTTAACTTGTTTTCCTAAAGCTGATATAGTGATCATAGAAACTGGTTGTGTTTCTATTTATTTATACTGCAAAAGATCACATTTCATTAAATAAAGTATAGTATAAACTCAAAAACAGAAATAACATTATATCTGCCAAAAATGAGCGTAGACTCATTAGGCCTGATTTCATATCGGGAAAGAACAAAGATACAAACAAAAGAAACAAACCAATAGTGAATTAAGAGTGAACTAACATATAAAAGTACATAGCAGGGAATACTGTAGACTAAAATGGCCTTATAACGTAACTAGATTAGGTGCAGTTTGCACATAAGTTAAGTTCCTAAACTACCCATTACCAGATCATAACGATCATTTGCCATTTGGAAAAGACAGATTAATTCAACAAAATATGTGTAAATGTATGTCATAGCGAAGTGACTGAGAATAACATACCTTCCTTCAAGTTGTATGGTAAATCATAGCGAGAGTAATCATATCGTGAATTACGTCCATACTCTTGAATATCTTCACGATTACCACCAATACCAAAATCATTTTTAGACCAATAAACTTGTACACCTGCTCCTGTGTCTGGATCTATCAGCATACGTACACGACATTGTAACCGTACTGTACTATTGAGTGTAACTGATTGACTTTCAGGATGTAGCTGTATCAAATTTGTTGATGTTAAATAATCTGACTGACATGTGACATAATGAAAATCTAAATTAGGAAATAAACAAGAATAAAATTTTTTTTGATTTTTTTGAAAACAATTCACTATATCAATTAGTAACTGAATAAAGCACGACCAAATGTTTACTGCATGAACGGTGGTTGAAGAAGTTAAGGTATTGATCAAGTATTTTTTAGATAAATAATTAAAAATGTAGTCATTCAGCAACAACGTAGAACTTCGTATGTACGTACATCAGTTCAAGTTACCATACCACATTACCACGCAGATAAATTGTCGATTCAAATCCCATAGTGGTAGAGGTAGTAAGAGTTAAGCAGTAATCGAAAGATTAGGGTTCGAAGATGTTATTCAAGAAGTATAATCCAGTGAAACAACTTTGGAGAGAGAAAAAAAAGGGACAAAGAGAATTCAGAAGATTAGAATTTGGGAGAACATAAAGAGTGGATGTACCTGAGTCATTTCAAACGATTTTGATTCAGATCATTTAAGGTCTCTAACCATCCGTTGCTATCGTCTCATGGATCCCAACCAGTTAGTCTACATTTACCAACATGACTCACTTCACTTGTCAGTGACTTCTTAGATTTGTGCCATGTTTTAGTCTGACCGTCCCTAGCTTTCTTCCAACCTACTCCTACACCACAAAATATCGCACGTCAAAACAGTTGATTGTTGGGCATACGTAACACATGTTCCAGACATCTCAACTGATGAAGTTTCACTACGTCATCAATTGATTTGCCATCCTTACCCAATGCCCGTTTCCTAACAACTGCATAAGTTACTCGGTGGTCCCAGGATATACGAGCAATGCTTCGAAGACACCTATGATCGAATACTAGTAAACTACGAATTACCTCTACCTTTACCAGTCATTTTTCACTACCATAAAGTAGGACCGAACGAACTGCTTTGGTCCTTTGTTTGGTAGACGGATATCTCGCCTGCGCCGTAAATGACGCAAGTTGGCAAAAGCTGGTTGAACATTCTGTATCCATACTGAGGTTTCGTCACACACCAGACCACAAGGGTTGATGAGACTCCCTAAATAAGCAAAGTAGTCAACACGCTCGTCTACTTCACTCCCTATCATTAGTGCAAGTGTTATTCATTGCTCAATTTCAACTTAACCACTAAATCTTGTTTTCTTATAAGTACTTAACTTTTTTGTTTTAAACAATTTAGTGGCATTATAGTTGACTTTTGAAATAAATGATGATCTATTTATTGTTACGTTTATCATCCTCAACACCAGCATAATTCTTATCAAAGAAACGCGTACATCTTGTAAATTATTAACTTTTATGGGTAAAATTTAAATCATACTTTTCAACTTAATGAATGATCTCTGAATACTCATCTGACTAGATATCATACTTCATTATGTAGAATAATGAATACTTAGAAGCAGTCAGGAAAATAAGCTGGATTTTGATACTAATAATTGTTAAGATATAAACAAACATAGATCATTACTAACTCTATATTTGAACCAAATATTCGTTTTCTTATTTCATATGGATAAGAGCCATTGAACTGTTTAAGGGTCAATTATTAAATAAAAATATTAATCTTTTCAAACCCCACTGATAAATTAAATTTACATAGATTTTCAGTGGTTAAGATCATGAGTCAGTTGAAGCTAGACCATCATGGAAAACCTAGGAGCACTGGATGGCCGTTTCGTCCTATTGTGGGACTCCTCAGTAGTGAGCATCCACGATCCCGTTCCCCGCGAGATTCAAGCCCAGGACCTACTGGTTTCGCGCGCGGGCACTTAACCACTAGACCGCTGAGCCGGATCCAACGGTGTTAATGTCTAACATCAACTAATCCATGAAATTGAGCGACACATCCACCATTGTCTGGCAGTGGTTACTATCTCACAACAGACCTGGTTGAACTCCACATAGATTTCTTAAAAATATCTTCTAATCAACCAATAAGTAATTATTATATTAAATTACTTTTACCATTACCCAAATTTAGAAAAAAAATCTACTTTCAAAAATAATTACATGGCGTCATTTTAGTTTTTAATATGTCGCATAATGTGAATAATAATATAAGATATCTAGACAGTGGGTAATTAGTTCCATAGAATATTTGTTTATATTCTGTCAAATATATGTAATTTACTGAATCAAACATTGGGTATCAATTATCAGACTATCAATTTATAGTGGTAATTGAAATGATTATATTAAGAGATTTATTATGTCGTCTATATAGTGACTGAAGTTAGTCGGTGAGAATGTAGATGATTTCGTTCATAACGTTAATGATAATTTTAAAATAAGACAATCTGATGTGTCAGTATTTCGAGGTTACAATGTAAAATTTATTTTGTAATATTTTTGATGTATAAAGTATTCTAATTCATTTTACATTTACATTTCAGCTTAACCGCAAAACTTAACACAATGACTCACAAAAAAAGTATTCAGATTAAGGCATAACACAGAAAATGTGACCCAGCGAAAACATTGTTTTCGGTAGATTCATTCTAAAGCTATGCAACGACAAATATATACTGTTTTTTTATGATGGTTTTGATAATTACGACAGACATCGAATGACCGATTTCACAGATGATAATTGATCTGTACCCGAAGTGTCATCTAACGTTAGGCGGAATAGTTTAGTAAAAATATTATTTTATGACCAACACAATTACGTAAAGTATGTTTTTGAAATATAAAAACAAGGAAAATGGGATGAATCGATGCTCATAATTCACTGAACTAGACGGTAAACATTCAGTAAAGTACTAGTTAAGGAAAATATATCGTGTTCAGTTGTCTTATTTGGAATTTTTACCAGTTACATTGATATTTTTCTAATTTATCACGAAGGAAGTGATTTTAAATGAAGTATGATCTGGAGTACTTGTAGTTTAGGTGACCCAAAAACAACACATAACTATAATACTACATCAGGAATATCTGTTGACATTTACTTATTGTGTTTTTAAAAAAACTTATTGTATGTGATAAACTTTGCAATAGATCAAATGTTGTTATGTATAGGTATCTAATTGACAAATAGTTCATTGCTGAATGATTTGTAAATCATTTTTTTTACCATTCAACTATTTTGCCAGTAGTTTATTTGGTTAAACTAAGAAATGCCCATTTCAACATTTGGTAAATAAAAAGGAACGAATCGAGCGAAACTTGAACTAGGAAAGCAAATCCCAAATAAAGTGAAATATGCTTAAAAAGTCCTTAAGTAAGTGGTACCAATAGTTGAAAATAACTACAGTAACACAATTAATCATTAATCGAACGCCTATAACTGAATAACACGTATTTATATTTTTTACAATTAATTGATTACTGAATAGTAACCAACCAACTGCAAACATCTCTGGAGGTCAGTTGAATCCCAAAATTTTTAGCTATAACGTTTCAGGGTCTGATGCTGAGTAAAGTAGGTTGAAATCCACCAAGAAGAAGCAGTTCAATCAAAACTAAAGGTATTCCGTAATAGTAAGTGTTAACACAATATCAAGGTTCAGGGTTTCTTGTCAACTATATTCAACTACCATACATATTTCCTGTAATAAGAACTCTTGCCTTTATAGTTTTTCTTCTATAAAATAAGTTTTTATAGTTAAGTGATTTGTTTGTTAGTTCTCCAAGCTATTGATCAGATTTAAAAAACTGAATTGAACCATGTTCTTATAGAAAGAAACTAACTAATAATTCACAATATTGAATTTCCACTCCATACTACTAGTCAAAAATTAATCTAAATTAAAATCAAATTTACACCACTCAAATGTAGTTGAAATTAAACAAATAACTTGAGTGATTAGTGACTATATAACCCTATGTAATAATTATATATATATATATATATATATATATATATATATATATGTACAAATGTAGGTTTTCCAATGTTTACAAATATGTCGGTGTATGTTGTTATTGTCAGTAAACTATGAAGTCAATAAGTCATTAATCATTTGAACAAAGTAAACAAATAAATAATGTGAAACACTTATTGATATAATGTTTATTTTCTTTCAACTTAATTTATAGTTTATAGAATAGTTTTCTTTTAATGATTTGTTGAACATACAAACATTCAAGTGTAAGTACATTCATTTATTCAACCATATTTATAACATATTTTCAACAGTGATTTCTATCAGTATAAATTAAGTATTTATTTTATTGGTTTCATTAAAATCTAAAAGATGAACTATGAATCAATTTTGAAATGAAGCATTAATAACCACAGATTTCATCTTGTTTTCTTTTCTCTTTTTGAGGTCTGATAAAAAGAAAGATTGTAAAAAAAGAAAGTATATGATTGTTTATAATAACTCGGAGCTTCCTTTTTGTCTTTCACCTTTTAGTGTTAATATGAGGAATTTGATTGGAAAAGATTTTGGAACGATAACAATTGTGGTGAACAAGAACACAAATGAGGATAATTGAATGTATTCGAACACGAAATTGCAGAATGTCTTATTAAAATCTGAAAACCATATAATAAATGTTTCATTTATTGTTGTTCCGTTGTATGAATTAAACTTGAGCTAATTTTGATTTGGTTATTTATGCTCTAAAGAAGTGGCTTACATTAAGTTACGAAATGTCAGAAAATTTAATTTTTCTACTCATCGGGATATTAAAAATAATATTATTTATTTAAATACTTCATTTGCAAAATGTCAATCAATCGTCTCAAGCTTCATTGTTCTTTCGTTCCCACATCCATCATTCTTTGTTCTCATTCTCTTTTCTTTGATCTTAACCTTTGTCTTCAGGCATTTCACTTTTGATTGATAATACATACTACTTATATCTGTCGACATCAATAATACACACCATACAACAACGAAATAAAAAATTCTTCAATTCGTGTTTTCTTCTTTAAAAAAACTTCAGCCTTACATTACATTTCTATTATTATCATCCGTTCTTCATAAAATATCAAGTTCATCAAACGTTTGTACATTTTAAATTACAAGTAGAAATATTAAATCATAAAATTGATATTCAACTTA